CACACCCACCCACACCCACCCACCCCACACCCACACCCCACACCCACCAACACCACACCCACATCCGCACCCACACCCACACACCCACACCCACACCCACACCCACCCGCATCAACTAATATTCATCATAAACATATAAATATATACGTACACGTATATTTAACGCCATTAAAAAGTTCCAAAGTATACATGATCATTTTGTAAACATTAGGTTTTTTTGTGTTGTTTTGATTATTTCATATTCATAGCATTAAACAATTCTTCAGGCAATCTGCTTAGTAAGAGAAACAGATATATTGACTATTTTAAATAGATGCTATTAGAATACGCACGATTATTAAAAACATTTGAGAATACATTAAATATATGTGTTGTGCAACATCTGACGATTATGCATAACACACGATTCAGAGGTTTTTCAATATTTTCCTACTCTCTTCTTCTTCTTCGATATAATATAGGTAAAACAGGAAAAACAGTCGAAATATACGACAAAATAAAGTAATTTTCAAAAATATAGGTCCAATGATTTCAATTACTAATTCATTATACGTATCGATAGTGATCAATAATAAAATCGACATAATAACATGAACTGACATATTAAGAAGTTCATTGTATAAATGACACAAGAAGTTTTTATCAAATGTGGTATCTGTTTAACATTACAAACTAGCATTCATACTAGTGAATTTGATTAAACTCGATTTCATACTAGTATAACATAATAGAGTTTGACTGAATCCTATTACCATCAATGCATTATCTATCGTACTGAACAAATATTCGGTCATTTCACCATAAATAGAGATGTAAGAGTTAATATGGTTCAGAGTTGTAATAAGAAAAGTCTTCATTTCATGTTGTACAAAAAATCGTGATCAGTGACAATCTATGTATAAATACAATGACTCTTAAATATGAAATGATAGAATTTCTCTATCGAATAGTTGTTTTACTATTGTCTGTTTCAAGAAAAACTTCCAATATTCGAGCGAAAATTTACTAAATATCATTCATAATAAACTCTTTTCTTGCTTTACAAGAATACCTACGAACAAATTAGAAGAAAAAAAAAGCTGTTTATTTTAAATATTTGTTTGTGTCTATACACATTATTATATTTAATAACTTCAATTTTCTGAAATCAATAGAAAAGGATAGACAACTCGATTATTATTAATTGTCATTTGATATTCTTCTATTTCTCATGCTTCTTAATTCTGTTGCATGATAAATCTTTCGTTGACGTTTTTTTCACGATAATAAATGTCAATTCTTGGTAATAAAAATAAAATAGAATAGATATTCTCTAAAAAAAATAATGAAGGATGACTTAAATAGATTAGATTTGAGAACGAGCAATGTAAAACAATTGTGAAAAAGAAAAAAAAATTCTATTCAGGAACATCAATAATGGTTCACTTTGATGTTGAACTATAAAGTTCTATAATTACTTACAGGGATGTGCCGCCCATATAGTTCCAAGAGGGGTGCAGAGGGGTCTGTCCGTCTCTACTTTTAGAAAGCTTTCAGTTATTCCCAGTGAAAATAGTATATATTATTGAACAAATAGATCGTAAAATGGAAAAACAATGTTCAACAACTCCACTGAAAAATAACTCCTTACAGCTTCTGACCATCTTGTTTTTTGCCGCACATCTCTGATTACTTATACAATTAGAAAAATATAAACCTAAACTTTATTGATCATTTCTTTGTTACATGATTATCTGTATTTAGATCACTTTTCGAAAATCTCAAAAAAAAAACAAAAATGCATTCAATTACAGTTATTTCAAGAGATATTTATTAGCAATCACATCGACATGCTCATTATTTATCAAGGTTTAACTCTAGAAAACACATAGAAAAAGCATTTTGTTTTCTCTTCATTAAAACTTGTGTTCAAAACTGTTGGATGTTTGTATGATGAGTGAACATCTCAAGAACAACATACATATTATGCATCCACATTAATCTAAGCATATAATATAATAATTACATCGATTTCATACATCATCTACTCGATATTGTTACCATATAATTCTTCAAGGCAAGGCGATCATTATCTGATGACATTCTCTTTTCTTTCATATGTCACACAATTACTTTGATCAAATTATCACTAGCGACCTGCGGAGTCAGGTTTTATTTTGACTTCGACTCCGACTCCGAAAATTTTTTAAGCTTCCGACTCTGACTCCGTTTTTAAAGTTTTTTTCAATTCCGATTCCGACTCCGACTCCGAAAAACACTCCGAAATTTTTTTCTATTTAAATCAAGATTTCCACTTTGCTAATAATGATGATGAAGAAGATATTGACGTTTTGGATTTTTGGCATAAACTACAGAGTTTATTTTCAACTTTATCTTCAATTGCTAGGAAAATCTTTGCAATATCGGCTACAAACACCACGATTGAAGACCTTTTCTCATCATCGAAAACAAAGTGTCGGCGAACGTAGAACAAATTTTGATGATGAAAAGCTTAATTAGCTAATGTTTCTTTTAAAAAAACTTTGTTTTATTGAAAAACTTTCATCAATCCAAAAAGACATCAACGAAAGGATCAAATTTTGATCCAGTTTCACTTATGTCAGAACATTAAAGTGAAATAGTAGTTAAAAAAGCACGTGAAGAAGATGAAAATATATCTAATGACGAAAGTGGAGCTATTGAATGATACTGATCTTTTTTCGCAATCATCAGTTGTAAGAGATAATCTGGTGTAGATGTTTTTTGTTTTTTTTTTGTATTTTTATATTTGATGTTACTTAGCTATTGGATTAAAAGTTCTTGTAACAAAAAGTTACGATTTTTAAAAAAATGCTGCACAAGAAAAGAATGCAATTGCGTTTTCAGAGTTTCTATAATTTGCACCGATTCCGACTCCGACTCCGTTGGAGTCGGAGTTGGAATCGGGTTTCGGAGTTCGATGCAGGTCTCTAATTATCACACAAGTATAATCACATTTGCTTCCGCTGTCATTTATTCTATATTGTACCAAAATAACGCAATTGATTTATAATCATAGTTCATTAGTTATGACATCTTTGTTTTACTTCAAAAAAAAGTTCAGAACCAAACAATCTATCATTCGAGAATGCAGTACCAATTATTATTTATATTAATTGTTTTGTTTTCAACAAAAAAAAGACTAAAATTTCAAAATTTTGAAAAAAAATGATTGCAAATACAGACTCCTCAATTCCGATAATCTTTTATCAAGGCTGATTGAAAAAAAGCTTTTTGTCATATGTAGAAATGTGACTGCGAACAAACTCATTTTATTTTATATGATTCTCTCTTCAATAAAACCAATTAAAAATAAAGTACTTTATAATGAGTAATATAATTGTACTATAAAAAAAAGGAAACTTCTTCATTTTGCTGTTTCCTATAGGCGTCCATGTCATAAGTTGATTCAGCTCACATAGATTATCTTACGTTAGTCTTTCTCTTATCTTTCTATATTACCGAGTATAAAATATAACAATCTTTCTTTTTTAAAGATTTTTCTCTCTCCTTTGAGACTCGTTACATAAACATAATTATACGAGACACTTAAGAAAAATTCTATATACATTCTAATTCTATTCAACGGTTAATTTTTTATTGGCTCATTTGATTATTAAAGTCATTCAATTAAACCTTGTGAGATCAAATGTTTTCAACAGCAACATTTCTTGGAATTCTCAATCTATGTCTAGTCATTATTGCTATGATTATTTTTTTATTAATTTTCATTATTATTTTCATTCATCATGAAGAACTAAATGATATATCATTAGTATTAACATGTAATACATGCTTAGCTGCATTTCTAACAACTATTACAGAATTTATTATGACTATTTCGAATTTAACAACAGGATTCTTAATGTATAATCTTTACATTTGTTATGGATGGGGATTATTCTATGATATATTTGAATGTTCTATCTATCATAGTTATTGTTTACAAGCATTATTTCGTTTATGTCGAGTTGTATTTCATAAGAAAAAGTCTCTTCTGTCTTTTTCCTTATATAATATATTGATTATAGATCAATGGTTAATCTCTATTGGCTTATTTATACCAACCATAGTTCTCAAATGGTACATTCATTTACCAACAGAAACTTATTGTCTTGTTCCGTATACAGATATAGGTGCATCAATATATCTCATTATTATTCTGTATCTTATTCCATTAGTATCAATTTCATTAATCTATGCATGGATAACGAAATTTATACGTAGTTCTGCACATCCAACAACACTTATTATAGTTACAAAACAGAGACAACGAAATTTAAGAGACTTAACTGTTATAAAACGTATTGTTATATTAATATTAATATTAATTGTGTTACGTTTACCAACGATCATCTTTATTATATATGGAGTCATTGTTGGACATTTATATTCGTTAACATATTCTATTGTTGGTTTGATCACGTCAACATTTTTAATAATGATTGGATTAGTCACAATTAATATAACACCACAATTAAAAAAGAATATTTTTATGTTTGTATTTTGTCAAGATAGTCGCGTACACATTCATCAAATACCATTACGACCTTTAGAACCAATAGATACTGTGCAAGGCAATATTATTGGTACTCGTCCAATTGTAATCATTAATGCACGAAAAGATGTCAATACAAAGAATAAGTTTTAATAACGTTTTCATTTTCATTGACAATAACACATCATCTAATTCGTCTACTTATACAGAGTATAGCCTCCCTTTTATTTTTGAGTTT